TTGTGTGTGGACAGAGCAGAGTGAATGCAATTCACAAATGTCCGTGTTAATGAAGTTGCCGCTGGTGGATTTTGACATCCACAACAGCTCAACATGTGTGGTTTGATGTGGATGAAGCAGTTTTGGTATGCTCGTTTTATTTGCCTGGCCGTGCCGCAACCAGATAACAGGTCACATCGTCATCTACCACAAAATTTGTCCACACATGAAAGAAGCGAACCTCGCAAGTGGCATGAAGCATTGCGTTTCGTCACATTGATTTAGCAGGCCACCAAAGTGGTCATATCCAAATTCATCTGATTGCAATTTTCTCATTAAACCTGTCGCTTTTTTATGAGAAGATTGGACCGGATGTCAATGACCGCTGAAAACATTATGCCTTTTCTCGTGCGACCTACTTACACAGTTGGTGTGGAAATGTTAAGAGGTGATTTTGTGCGTAGGCTTTCCGCCACACAGTTATCGTCTCAGTTACCAGGTAAACCGGCTTCCAACTTTGAGGCGGATTTTGCTATTCAGCCAGAGTGTACCCTAATCGTTGTGACCCACTCACGCACCACCCGCTGTTCACATCACAGGCGTCGATAATTACCTCACCGCCCATGGATTGCAGGTTTGAAAAGGGAGGGAAGGCGTCTGGTAATTTTCACAAGGTCGATGTTGAGCTGTCAGGGCCATTTTCTTGTGGCATGCGACTCCTGGCGCAAATTCGTCACAAGTGAGGAATTTGAAGCAAGCGTCTGAGAGGGTCGGGTCACCCTCTGCCGCGCATGCCTATCAGCAGCTTCTTCACCTTGTGCTTCTTAGGCAAGAGAGTGCTTCGATGACCACGTGAAGAAGACGTACATTCCGCAGATCTAGTGAGTGACTGAGTCATGGAGCCATTGCATTGACAAGGGACAGCGTTCCGAGGGCACACCCCCGATGGTCCCATGGAATTGTGGTCTCAGGAAGAAGCCGTCACTCTGGGTGGCACATGATATTTTTTTCGGCAGCAATCTTACCAATTTGTATTTTAATGTAAACCCTAGGTAGCACGGAGAATTCTCCTGTATCCCGGGTAACAATGAATTAAGTTGCAGGCCCCAAACTTGGGCTACATTACATCGGGCAGAATAATGGGGGCTACTAAGCTCATTTCGTTTAGAAACTAAAATCTTGATTCTAAAGGCAAAACAGAAATTACATGAAAGTTTGTCAAATCTGAGCGGTGGCGCAACCTGCATGAATATTCGAAACGTCTCCCCCGGACGAGACATTCCAGTTACCTCGACACTTCAAACTTTAACCCATCGCTAGTACGAATTACACCGCTGACAACTTCCCTAGAGCATTGTAGTGAAGCCAATGGATGAGATTATAAGAGAGCGAACTTGATGGAGATAATGTTGGGACGCGGAGAGACATAGTGGTAAGCTGTATTATAAAAAAAAAAAACATAAGGACTCAGGCGCGGAGAACCGAAACCGGACACACAGGGACCTGAGGAGACCATTAATGGACGGTTAGGTGTTCTGACGAGACACTCAGGTAGAACTGAGGAACACAATAGCCACCAAGACCACATTAAACGCGTATGCACCCTTGCTCATTCATTACGGCGCAGTAAACGAGGGAGTCTGGCGATGTGACTAGATTGGACCCAGCCTCCCCGACGTTCACCGGCTAATGGAAGACCAATGACAGCAGTGGTAATCATGAACACACTGAGCGCCAGTCACTCGAAACGAAAAGCGAGCCCTCCAGGAACTAAATACATTCCACCCAATTATGGTGGAATATCCCCGAAGCATAAGCTGTTTTATACACAAATTAGTATATTTTCAGGTAAAATACATGCATATAAAAGCCTTGCGCAAATTTTGGGATACTTTTGGACAAATATACAAAACATGCAGGTTAAGAGACCTAACAGTAACGCCGATGTTCGGAAAGAGGGTGAAATGCGTTCATTTGCCATGGTTGGCGGGAACCCGACGGTCTAAGGGCTAACGTCGCCCTTTTTTGCGTTATACTTTTCCATGGCTTTCTGGTACTTAGCCTTTTCTTGCGAAGCCTGAGTCTCGTACTTCGACCGGTTTTTGCATTGTTCCCAACGAGAAGCCAACTCTTTGGCACACTGGCCAACCGACCAATCCGGATGAGATTGACGAACTTTAGGTCTTTCGTCTTGGCAGAAGAGGAAGAACGCTGACATAGGCTTCTTCGGAGCATCAGGATCCTTCTTCTTTTTTCTTTTTTTGGCACCGTCAGCCGGCGGCGTATAGTTTTTCATAGCTTTTTGATAACGTTCTTTATCCTTAGCAGCAATATCTTCGTACTTTTTCTTTTCCTTGGCTGAGAGAGCCTGGAAAAAAATGATTAACTCTAAGTTGGACAAACCTTCCATTTAGCAGAACACTCCTTAGAAAACGTGGAAAAATCAATTGACGCAGATGGATTTTTCTTTTTGTGCTCATCGCGCATGGACTGCACAAAGACGGCATATGGTGACATGGCACCCTTCGGCTTCGACTTATCCTTCACCATCTTAAATTTTGATTTGAGCCGACAGTCAGTGGATATGAAGATTTCGATTCGTGTCATCGTTTTAAACAATCCTCAAATACGTTTACTAAGATTTTCAATCAAACATTAAAAGTGTCATAATTTTTAAACAACCCTACCGTTTTAAGCAGTGCCAATAGGCTTATTGCAATATTTTACACGTCATGACTCAATGGTTCTTGTTATGCTCCGTCGTTTCATTTACCATTGCATTTGACAATACAATTTTAAGGAGAACTTTCACATTGTTTAACGTGAACGTCGCCCTAAAATAAAATACAAAATATACATGCATTTAAAAAAAATTGCGGTTTATTGTCTAGTCAGACTAGCACATGCCAACTTCGTCAATACTCAAAATAGTAGACTCTCAAAAACCACAGGTACTATTTAATAACAATAATAATAATATGCAAAATCTGCTTTTTGTAAGTTTTTTAAAGTGAAGCATTTCTCTTTGAATATAGTTGTTTAAAATCATTCCTAGTGAGGAAGAGAAAGTCCTAAGCAATTAGTCTGTCTAAATACCCACCATGTTAATAATAAAAGGCAAACTGAGTTCTTAGTATGCGTCACTATGTACATGGCATGCGATACCCCATTAAACATTTCCGAAGGATGCAGATATTATTTGACCTGAAGCTGCACGTGGTTTTAGCACAACACAATCCACCAATTGTTCCCTTTGACAAGACACTCATATGTAACGATGCCAAAAATTCAGAATTGTGCTAAAGCGCACATTCTAGTACTTAGCCAATAAGACAAAATGAAATCCTGATATATATGGGTTCCGGAAAAAAAGTAACAACACTTAAGTAATTTGTGCTGCGTAATGGTGCAAGCAACCTACCTTTACATTACCATTAAAAAAGAAGAACATTAGCATTGCCTATTAATTTTGAGGCTTTCTGCTGTGAATGTTTGCAAACAACTGCTGTGATCTCGATTTGATGACAATAAATTGGTGTCGCCTTTGTATTTGTATATTATGGATGCATTTGCGCTTGAAATTAGAAAGGTGTGCAGGTAAAAAAACCTATAAAATAATTAAAATGTTTCTTATAATGTCAAAATTGTTAGCTGCATATATTTGAGTTAGATTATTGCTAAAAGACATTGTCCTGCTCAAATATATTATTGCAAGTTTTCTCTAACTAAAAAACACAGTTCTCATTCACCGCAAAACTAGGACGAAGCGAGTATTTCTAATCCGCGGCAAGTGCTTAATTCTAAAATGAGATGGGCAGATCGAAATAATTGGCTTGTGATTCTCAAAGCGAACCAGAGCCGACTACCTACATTGGTATCGTCTGGCCACAACATAAGAAAAAATTTACAAAACTTAAGACCTCATAGATGTATTGCTGCATCAATTGCGTGGTTATGCGTTGTGTCCATGCTTAGGCGTCATTTCATGTTGGTACACTTTGTATAGCTGACTGATTTAACATCGCAACGTGTACTACACTTATTATCATTAAAAAATTTTGGTCATCCCACGATTGTCAACAATGATCCCTCGGACTCAAAAATTCATTTGTTCTCTGAGTATAGAATTTAGATCCTCAACACAGTGCTTGCACTAAATTTTAAGCACAGGAGATGTATCGAATCATGCAAATGCAGTTTTTTAAAATATCGCCATAAGTTTTTTGTATCACCATTACCATAGGTCTTTTTATTTAGGATTTAAACATTCTTGGACTTTTCAGGACGAGACTTCTAAAATTGATTCCAGTAAACGAATCGTGCATTTAGCCAAGCCTGTAGGTCTAAAATAAAGCATAGGATGAAGCAGAAATGTATGTTTAACTTTACACGGCTTTTTCGCTTTTTGAATTTAATTTGATTTGATTAAATAGTTTAAACCAATCTTGGGCGGCAGTTTTGATGTGCTTTAAGGACCGAATAAAGGTTTTTCGCTGTTGTTCATTTAAGTATTGCGTAGGAGTATATTACTTCATGCAGAAGGAGAACACTTGAAGGTTTCTTAAAAGTTGCGGGCTTACCAACCAGTGGGTTGAAGGAATCTCTCGTTCTCAGGCTCCTTAACTACATTGACGTTGGTCCTTCCGACGAACTTATTTCTGCTATTAGTGCAAAAATGCAATCAGCTATGTCACGTCAATGTTTACATTCAGTAGATCTTCATGCACATTTGAACAATGGTGAGTCTTTCCTAGCACTTTAGTCGTGAAGTGTACTGTCAACAGCGCGTTTCCCAGCGCTGGTTGCGCACACTTTTCATTTGCATTAAAAATGTCTCTAATTTGCAGGATCAGCGCTGCCAGACATTAATACGGGGGCGCAAGTAACTACAGATAATATTACCATGCAGGAATTTATTCGAATGCAGCAAAATGTCGGTAATGCAAGAGTTCCTCCCGCTTTGGCACCGCAAGCGGCTCACCAACATCATCTGCCGTTAACAACTGCACGGCCAAATTATCTACGGTCCATGGACTCCCCTTCGGACCCCCACAACAGCGGCACAATTTCAACCAGTCACAATTCACATAAATCTGCGGAGTGCACTGGCCCTTCTCAGAAGTTACCATCTCCCACTTGTGGATATTTGACTTTAATGACTGGTAATTTTTATGCGATGCTAAATCATAGTTGATGTAATGATTTTTAGGTGCATGCATACTCTAAGGTAAAATATTTGTTTATTAAAAGGATGCTACCGGATGGATGCAATTATGTGCTTCATTTCTTTGGCTCGGCTTTTTTATCTTTGAATGTAGGCATCTTAACGCTTTCTAACATGATTTATCTTTTTAGCTGGAGGTCTTATACGGCTGCCAGTTTGCCCATCGGTTTTGCGTTTTGTGGACTCCCCTTTTTATAAAACCATCAATGTGATTGTCCCTCCTACAATAATGACTCCCACGGAGTTTATTTTTACTCCTGGCAAACGATCCTACGAGCGGCTGCTCAATTTTCGAATTAATCCAGACCAAGCAGAAACGATAACTTACCACAGGTAGTTTTTTGATTTGACTCAAATCGCCAGGTTTTTTTTCTACTCAAATGCTCATCCTAAAGCATATATGTAACTAAAGTAAACCTTAACAATGTTGCGACACTTTTTTCCCGTGAAATGTTTTTTTGTTGTGGTCTGGTCGTCTAAGTCAGCATAATTCTCCATTATTTGAAGCACTTGTTAATATTCATTTGCCCCTTGTATCTGTGGGCTCGGTTTCTGACAGCATAGTCCACCTGACGAGGTCAATCCTCTCATCTTCGCACTATTCAACAACTCCCAGATATATAATTAAAGAACACCGCTCTTGAGTGCTTTGTCGCGTCTCATACTTTGGCTATTTTCATCTATTTGGGACGCTATTTTTTAACCCTTCTTTCCTTTGGTTTGTTTGGATTCTCACACTTTGTAAGGGCACTATTTTGTTTGATTTTGTTGATGTGAAGTCGTCGCCTGGATGATAACCGTCGGGAGTTCGGTGTGCAGGTGATCATGCGATTTGGCAAGCTGGAGCCCTCTGTTCTTGTTGACATTGATGCAGCGTCATCTTCACAGTCATCATGTTCCACCGCAGGCACTACTACGTTCCCCCCATTTGTGGACAGTATGCCCATCCATCTATTTGTTCAAGTGAACGGTAGACTTGCTCCACTTCCACCCCTTCTTCCTACTTCCAGACCCAATATGGATGGACGACGTAACGCCCGTCCCGTTCATATTACGCCCTTGGTATGTTAGCATTGATTTAATCCGTTTTTTCTGTTTCTCCATCATTCTAATTCCTTGTTCTATGTGTTTATAGTCCATTGTCTTAACATGCATACTTCAAAAGCTCGAAATGTTTCGCGTAGATTTTGTTACCATTCCTCTCACTGAACCGCTCCCACACTACTCTTGGCTTCTCATCACACGTATCTTTCGTGCCTTCGTGTTAATATGACGAACATGGTCCAATGTAATGTGTATTGTTCTGCCATTTCTTTCTGATCCCTTCTCCCTGGAAGATGTGCGGTTCTCTTTCATCTCTTTTTGAGCCCTACATACCAAACGCCCATGCATCGTATTACATGACCGTCTGGCAGTAATACTTATATATCGTAAATAATCGCCGGCGATGCCCGCGGTTGTGTATCAAAATGCTTGGGAGTCGGCTACATACTAACATATCCGTTATTTCTTGTATTTTGACCGTCCATTGTCATAGTCGGTTCTAGTTTGCAATATCTTAAAGCGATACCAGGTTTTACCACATTTATCGACTGTTTTTTTGCTGCGTTCGCTTGCACCTCATGTCGTATCTTGCCGTCAGAAATGTTATGTTCTGACTTGCAAGTAGCGTAATATATGCGTACCCTTTCTCTGCGTGCTAGAACTCGCCTTGAAGTGGCACTGACTACCTTCAGTGATTTTTTCTCATAATTTAAATTTGTGAATTTACGAAAACAAGTTTGCTCGTAGAAAAGGTAATCTGTTGCAGTTCAGTAGTCTGAAACCCGATATTATCAAAAGTCGATTTCCGTTGTGGCGAGCACAGCAATCGTGAGCGAACGCAGTTTGCAAGCGTGAGCGAGCTTGATTCATTTGGTCTACACAAATGCACTTCGCGTAACTCTGTTCGTTAAGGCATTAATGGTTAGCCGATCCTATATAAACGCATTTGTTATCCTATACACCCACCACCGCTACCGCATCAATAAAGAAGTTGAGCTATGCTTTATCTGCATTTCTTCTGTGCTTTCGGTTGGGCCGTGTCAACGTAGATGGGCAGCCCTGGTGTGGTTCCCAAAACCGCAATAGGGCGTCGCAGCACTGTCAATGGCGGTTGTGACAAATTTTGTTTATTTAAAATACCCAAAAACTGGCTATTGTTTGTTTTGTGAGTTGTATGTAGCTTGCTTTCAATTAAAGTATTTGCCGTTAGATAAAACTGGAACTTGAAGTGTTGTGTGATTGCTGTTACTAGTTCGTGGTGTTCGGATGCAGGGCCACTTGCATTGAAGGTGGAAGTCTTGATTCCATGTACATGACCATTATGTGTTGCTGATTAAATTTAAATTTTAGTAATTAGCCTACAACTCGACATTCTTACGTCCACTTTCTTGTGTTTTTTATTTTGAGGAACTCATCTCACGGACTCTAATAAGTATTCTAGTGATAATCCACTTAAATGCGTAGACAATCTGTATCCAACTTCCCTTACAGTTACGCGTCTCTCCATCGACGAGCAACCACGTAAAACTAACGTGGACACACGAATACTCAACGTTTTCCTACCACTTTTTCGCCATCTATCTTGTTCGAAAACATTCAACCAAAGAACTTTGCGAGGCTCTTCGAAGGCATGCCTACCAACATGCTCCTGTCACCCAGGTGGGTGTCATTTCTTGGTTACTTTGTTTCATCGGTATTAGTTCTTTTTATTTAACGAATTTGTCCCATTCCTTTTTGTTGGATGACCCACGTGTGTTTAAATGAACAGGATCGTCCTGAAATGTGAATAATAACTTTACGTGTTGGGTTGCTAATGCGAAATATGCCGCGTCATTATAGCGCTTCTTCATTATTGAACTGGCAAGTGTGAATTTAATGCCCGGTGGCGTTACTTAATGTGAAAAAAATTTTGGCTTATTATATGAAACGTTCTTTTTATCCTAAGTAATAAGCAATGTCCGATGCAATTCCCACCATTTTGCGATTCTTCCTGCTCGCTTGTTCATTGCATCGACAGACCCCACACCTTTTCCATTTGCTTTTTGGTGTCACATTGTTTTCATGCATCTGTTAGTGTGGGGTTTTGTAAAGAAGGCTCATATCCTCAGTCACTTTCTCTGGTTAATGGCTTCCGTTGTGCGCAAAAACACGTAACTCATATCTGGTAGTAAAGTGCCACTGTGCGTGGAAATGGCTTCTACAAACCTAATTTTTGTGCCGCGTAATCGTTGCCATCTGTAACTATCGTTGCAGTGTCAATGGTAGACTTTGCAAAAACAAACTAAAACTAGGCATAAAAGCGAGATTACGGTTATGGTTTCTCTCAACTCGTATAGATTTATAAACGTTGGTAGGAAGCCTCTTGTTCTTAATTAGTTTGGTTTTGTTTCTGCTAGAAACAAATTATTGACAAGCTCGCCTCAAATGCGAATTCAAGCCTTGGTGAGGGGTTAGTAGAAGAGGGTGACGATGATGACCTGCAGATTCAAAATACCCTCCCTGTGCAGCTGCTCTGTCCACTCTCCAAGTGCCGCATTAGTTTGCCAGTGAGAGGGCGCAAGTGTCAGCATATCCAATGCTATGACGCTAACACCTATCTCCTCATCAACGAGCGAAAGCCAGCATGGAAGTGCCCCGTCTGTGACTCACTCGCACCATTTCACGAACTTCTCGTTGATGGGTAGGTCTTTCATCTTTGTTCGCTTGAATACCCGTGCCTCTACTTTAAAAATTAAGTTCGTTTATATGCCAAATATGGCTAGCTTGGCTCAGTTTTCTGGTTGTGCTATTTTGACAACTCTTTTGTAAGTAGCGGGTTCATTTTGTGTTTTCTATTATGAATAGCCTTACCTTGATTGACTTTTGTTATTCCTTCGAGAGTTGGCAATGCCGAGTCTATTAGTCGTATTAGGGCTTTGCCGGTAAAAACAAGGCCCATTTAGATCGGAATTTTTGAAAGCTAATTACAAAACTGGTCTGTCAAAATTAGAATTTTAAGCTTTTTTAAGTTGACGCTTTTCTCCCGGCATTACGCTTAACTTTTCGATCTCGTATTTAAGTGACGTCCTCAGGAAAACGTCATGAAGTTTCCATGACTTCGAACCTTTGTTGTTTTGCAAGAACAAACCAACGCTTATTTGGGGAATTTATTATTATTATTATTATGTATTTTGAGATTGTGTGTTTAGATATGCAAGTGCGTGCATTCAACACTGAGAAGACTGTAACGTGTGCTGTAAGCTTACGACTTGGGGCTCTCCATTGCTTCCCTGTATGTGCTTAGGCACCGTCACGTGATCAGCCCTCACTTCTGTGGTGACTACCACCTTTGTCCAGTCTGCTTCGCGTGTCAATACCACTGGTGTACGCACTAGCATCACGGCTTAAACCTGTTTGACGTGTTTTTTCTGTATCCTATAGCATCACTTACTTTTTCTTTCACTGTCGCTGGTCTTAGTTTCGACTGCAGCGCAAAACTGCCTCATCCTAAACTTTACTAAATTCACTCCACTTTTCATCACTTGATGAGTGACTTTTTGTCAAGTGCTCCATCTTTCGCTTTCTTCCGTTGAGGTTTTTATTGCTCTACACTTCCTTCAACTGCTTTCAACTTTCTAATTGCAAGCGCTGACTCTTAGTCAGGTCAACCAAAAGATTTGCAAACCAATAAGTGCCTCGACAACGGTTCTACTCCCTATCACTTTTACTGTAATCTTACTGGTTTTCTGTTGCTCGCATATCGTACCCTCGTGCAAACAACGCTGTCGGACCCCTTATATATTGATCTTCACCTAGTTTTGCTAACCAGTGTACTTTTATCTGAGCAACAAATTTCTAAGATCGACCATGTCATTAGCAGGTACGATGTGAAGAAAAATTAAGTGGATAGTGAAATCTGCACACATGTAGCTCATGCCAATGATGTTTTCGCGTCTCTATTTAGCCTTCTGGTGGATATTTTATCCGCAAAAGAGTCACAAGACGTGGAAGAGATTATCTTCAATGAGGATGGTTCATGGTCTTCAGTAGGCGTCATTGGTGCCGGCGGCTCCCATCGCAAATTTGCGGACGCCCCTCCATCCCCTTCCGCAGCCGGTAGCGGTTCTAGCTCGCCCCCTCATCTGTGTGGAAATCCTCTCAAAAGGAGCGCTTCTACTAACACAACGACCTCAACTGTTTCCACATGCAACGAGGTAGTACAAACTTTTTACTGCATTTTATGCTATCAGGTCATGCAGACTTATCTATGGGGTTATTTTGGGCATTTTAATCTCCTTATTCCCTGCACACGGAACGTTACTGAAGTGAGCATGTTTCTTGCATTTAAACATCTTTCTTACTTTTACTTCCTTGGAAATTGATGCGTTCCTGGAAGCCGACTTTAAACGTTGTTAAGCCTGTGTTGATGTGACCCTCATTAATACGATTAAAATCGGTTCGGTAAAGAAAAGATTCCACTTTGTTCATCTCCAACACATAAGCTTATTCAGCATAAATTGTTGTGGCACCATTTGACTATTTTAAACTACGTCAAAATTTTACTATTCTGTCTCCATACTCCCCTCTAAATTGAACCGTGAAAATGAAAAGCTGACATTTTCCGTAGCAATAAGTTCAAACCCTTAAATCACAAGCTGCTTTTTGTACCGGCCTATTTTTTTAAATTTTACTAGAAAATGACCTGTACAGGATGACCTCATGCAAATAATTACCTTTTAGTGTGACGGCCACTGGTCTAACTAATACCATAGCACTTTAGATTTCACCATCACAGAAGCTAAATTACCACTACTTAACCGTGCCAATTCACTTTGTATATTGTCCACCAAATTTTTAGTTCTCTCGGAACCATTTTAGGTACTTCCGAGTTAAAACTCATAATTCATTTTAAATAAAAGCAGTATCCTTTCGTGTTCTGTGTGACGTGCGATGTTTTGCTCGAGGTTGTGGTCGTAAGCATTTGTTAGCGTTACAACCCTCGGCTACTTGGATTTCCTGTTTATCCTTTTAATACTTGGTCGTTTTGGAGGTGTCACGTCGTCCCCCATTGACTTCAAGTGATTCCCTACTTGCTGCAATACATGGCCTATTCCACACGTCAAAATTTCCGTTAACATCTTTTTTTCACCAAAATGGGCTTGCATCACTTCCTTGCAAAAAAATGATTTAAGTCCAGGGTAAACCGTCGTGGTTAACGATGTTCCGTGCTTGTGTACGCAGTTCAATAACAGTTTGCTCTAGACAGCACAAGTTCCCTGTCATATTTTACTAAAATATTTGAAAACAACTCATTCCCCAGAAAAACAGCTTGGCGTATTCTAAATGTTGTACTGATCGTTCGTGAATGTACTTTTGGTCAAACAACTAGCAGTGTTCCGACTCAGATGTCCCATGTACGTCATTATGTGTTGTATTCGTAATGTTCACCGGTTTGTCGTTTTTTGGAATACGTGTATGGATAAAGGTTTTTTCAAGTTTCCGACATCGGTGTATTCTTCCGGACAAAAAAACCCAAGCTTTAGTACTCAGCTTATGTTTATTGTTGTATGCTACATCAGTTTCTACTTCCCGGCTTTTATTGATTATTTCGTGGAGACAACGAGTTCTCTGAACTACTTTATTAGAAATGTATTTACTCCAGTGAACTTCGTTTTTTTAACTTCCCTCCACTTTGCGTGATTTGCAATTTTCCCTAAATCAAGATCCAGTTTGTGTCAACTGTGCGTCTCATCGCTAACCCTAACGAGGCTTATCGGACTTCTACCCTGTGATCGTGTGTGACTTATGTGACCACCATTGGTATTTTTCAGCACTCCGGTGGCACAGAACTGACGATCGACCTGACGGAGTCGGATGACGAAACCGAACCAACGGGGAAGCGTCAGCCCCCTCCAGCACCAAATGGAGCACTGCGGGTACCGTCCTCTTTGTCTCATCCACATGATCCGGCAAGTCTTTCAGTTCAGTACGGCGCCACGCAGCATCATCTGCAACAACATCAACAACAACCAACCTCAGGTTAGTCGGTAGATTCAGTCGTATGTGTGTGTGTGTGTGTAGCTTTTCATCTTGCTTCTCGTCGCTGCACATTTTCAAGTTTATTTCGCTGTTTTAAGTGGTTTCAGGCAGCAAAGTGTGTGATTTTGTAGTTGGTTTCATAAAACCTACCACTGTTGACATTCAGTACAATTCATTAAGTTTAACTTCTTGTATTTACCAATAAAGGACCTCAGTCCACCATTTGAAGTACAAATCGGCTGGTTTGTAAACGTAATCTGTTTCTATTACACTGGTCTAGTCTTTGTTCCTTTGCCAAAACCGCTCTACGAATTCCCTCCATAGAAAGCGCGGTGTTGTTAGAGGTGAATAATGATGCCACTTTGTCTCCCAGATACCATGCGTCGTAAGCTCTCAGCCAAGGAACAGTTCGAAAACGCGGGATTAAGTTTGGTCGATTGTTTTTCATACACGCCTCTATCGGCAAACGTGTCAACAAATATGCTGCTTCATTCGGGATTTGTAAATAATGAAGTATTTCATCATTTTGTTTTTATCACCTGGAAGGTTTGAACACTTCACGAATTTTTGTCTTAGTGGTGTAGATGACTCCACCCATAGATGATTTTAGAAATTTTGAGAGAATTTTTACGATTGGATAGTGTGTTGAGCTATCTGAGATTGCTGTAGTCATGTGTCGGCACATTCAATCGACTTAGTTATTAACGCCAGTACACTATGCCTGCGATAAAGCTTAAGTCGATGAAGAATTTCGGTACTCTGGTGGCTCATCAGTTCGATCGTTTTTTTTTGGATTTTCCATTCGCAGTATTTCTTCGATCACTGAAATAAAATGTGGATTTTAATCAATTCAAAATAGTTACCTCCAAATCGGCCCAATTTGATGATTGCAGCATAATTCGCATCGTTAAAATCTGACTTGCTATTGGTTTGGAGTTTATTGAACTAGTTACTTACCCTTGGTATTCGCCACGGTTAGCAAACCCATGGTAAGGCAGTCGAGATGTATGGGTTTACCGATTGAAGTTCTTCCAGTTCTCCACTGTTGTAATTTCAGACCAGTATACTTTTTAACCCAACTTTGTACGCCATTTTCATTCGTCCACGTCAGTTCTGATTCCGCCGGCGTTGCGCTGCGGTTTCTCCTCCTGGCTGGATTTCTCTATCAGTCGACTTTGCCTCCAACCGTGATTTATTTAACCTAGATTGTTTTCAATATCAGCCAAGTTGCCGTGATTTCATAACTAGGGTGTATCGAGGTCCGCCCTTGTTTGTGTTCTGTGTTTAACAATCATATGCGCGTGTGTTGTCTGTTGGGCCTGTACTTTCTCTTTACCCAAGTTGTTCCCATTTCACATTACTCAATCAAACATCGTGTGGATGGGACTTTATATATTTTTTAATGTTTGTTTGTTTATTCAACTCGACGGTATTGAATATGCGCACGAGATGGTTAATATGACCCACGTAAAAAAGGAACTAAACTCTTGAGAATGCGTATTTGAAAGTAGCAATACTTAGCCATAGCTGTCGAAAAATTACCACTTATCTGGATGACCCGAGGAGTGAAACTTATTAGGTTCTGTGTTTCAGACTCGCCAATAATCTTGACGGTTAGTTTTAAGACGTGTATATATATCCAAATATAGCGGACCTGAAGAACTGTAATGCCAGCAGTTAATGCAAGGTTAATAAATATTAATCTATTTCTGTTTGTAAGGTGTTATATTGAGAAATACTAAAATTTCTACCCATGGTTTTCCTGATGCACAATCATTTTGTAAATGGTTCCTTGGGGCTACTTCATGTGGTTCCTGAGTTTCCTAATTATGCATTGTGGATCCCATGTTTGATTTTTATGACGTCCTTTTTTTAATTTTTTCCCGTAACTTTTTGGTTCTTCGACCTTTGTGGTTTTTCTTTTACCGGGGTAGATAATTTGCATCTTCACTAAACCCCATTGTGGGCAAGCTAAACTATTTACAAGACAGTAAAACAGGTCACATTTTGTGATAATTTCGGGCACCGTGGCTTTTTTGCTGACAGCCTCGTAGTTCTAAGAACGACCGTTTCCACATCTTGCATTTGCGGTGTCACGTACTTGAATGGAAAGCTTTAAAAACTCTTCTTCCATCCGATAGCTGCTTACTGTTCTCTTGCATTTGCTCTTCTTCGCCCTCCTTGTCTTGGCCTGCTTGCGCGTCACCGCGATTTCCTGCAGCAGTGCCCACCATCACAAGTGCAGTTGACTTTCGTCGCTGTCGGTACACATTAGCGGTTGTGTGAATTGTCTCCGTGCTAAACTAGTCTTCTCCCAAATCTAGTTTACTGATTGCAGAGCGTAATCAGTAGGGCTACTTTTGTGCCGGTCCACATAAATTCTCGTCATCTCTTCACTAACCACTTTGAAGCTCTCAAAATTGTGACTAGAAAGGTGATTTTTCGCAACATTGGCTGGCTTCATGCTCTATACTATGTTTGTTAGCTTTGGTTACCCAGGTATTTCGGAATTCTGTTGTTGTGGATCCTCCGACCTTTCATCATCCGCGCCATTTCTAAAATGTTGGTGCTGTGGCCTCTAAATTGCTTCCTCACTCCTCTGGTGCCAAATCTGACTTACTACATGCAGCCACATTAGCGGGCCTAGCTTTTAGGCAAACCTGTCTTTTGACGTGATGTTCATCTCCTGTGGACGCTTTTAGCAAATCGAAAGTTCCTGCAGTGGAAACCCAAATGTCAATTCATCGCGTGGGGTCGAGGTCATCTCAACGTCTAGTCTTATCCTGCACTTTACTCAGTAGACATTTGTGCACGTGATCTACCGCTGCATGATTGTGGTGGTGGTGGTGATGGCAGCTGTAGTGGGTGGTCGTAATCGCACGTGAATAGTCAATTTTGCGTTTTTATGTTGTAGGCCATCGAAAGTGAATGTGAAAAAGGCGAAAGTGCCAGGTCTGAAGATTCCTCTCTTCTTACTTCCACACATGCACACAAACTGTCGAATGTGTATTGCCCTTGGTTCCTCCTTTCCCCCTTTTTGATCCCGCTCCACTCCCTTTCCCGTCTTATGCGTCTGTAAGTTGCTGTGTACAGTGGATATTGACACCGACGGGGGGGATTGATCCAATTTCACTCTCTGTCCATCTGTATAATGAACCTTGACTTGATGTTGCCAATCATAAAATAATATCCTGTATATGTAGATTAGCGATGAAAGGAACTACTTGCATATCTGCATCCCCGAATCCTCAACCTTACGATGGTCTTAGGACTCTTGTTCTAAAGGATTAACGGCGTTGGCCAAAAGGCTAGGTCGTGTCTTAATTCCTACGATCGTTTGAATTCTGTTCTATTTTTCCTCACTCTACGAATTGAAAAGGCCTCGACACACTAAACACTGTTCTTCGCGTCTTGAGATGTTCGAAGTCTTTATTAAAACCTTGAAGCTCCGGCTAATGTCTTATCGTCATATCTAGATTGTGTAGCCGCTTTTGTATTCCTAATTTTTTTTCTTTCTACACCTCGTCAATTTCGCTCTTTCCACTACTTCTGGTTTGTTTTAGCATTAGCTGGATGCCAACACCAAGGATCCGTGCCCCTAATTCCTCTACCTGTTTCATGTATATTTTATGTACATTAATATACCGACTAACAATGGAATTCGGATTCTATTTTGGGCTCTTCTGTCTGTGGTCAAGCATGATTATCTCGCAGAGGACCTTTTTATTCTCCGAAGCAGACCATACTTTGTATTAAGTCATGCGGTTATACCTCTTCAGATTTTGCGAATCATCAACCTATTCATTTTCAAACTGTTTTCATGGAAATATTCGGTGGCGTGTGTTTCAAAGTGGGCTAATTAAATGGGTGGCTCGAAGGGCTCTTTTTGCTTTAGGGTCCAATGCGGACAACTGCGCCATGGCTTTGTGCTGTACTAACGCTTGATAGTTCGTACTTCGAGAGTAATGGCTCTGAGGAGTCGTCGGTGGTATTCACCGGTGCTTGTGCCGCCATCTTGAAATTATGTATATATAAACGATTTGGTGGTCTAAAGCGCTAGCTTGCTATTTACCAAATATCTTGCACAAGGCATCACTTCCTCCGGTTGTCGTCTTCTTCCCTAAGGTTTGAACAGTGAAAAGCTTTCAGTTTCTGAGATCATGTTAGTCTTCCCTATCCCGTAGCCTACTAACTGCTAAGCCTAAACGAGCCCATTTTCAACATCATAACGCCTCCACTTCCTGTGTTGAGCATGCACCTGCCATTCAAGTGACAGGAACACTGAAATGTATATGCCTAGCACTCGGAGTGCCATTGGAACACCATTAGGTCCCTTTTTTGTTGTCCTAAGAAGGTATTAAATAGGTCAGGACCTCCGATCAGGGAAATCATTAGTGCAGCACCCGTCTTTGGTAGTTACGATAACTTCACACATAATTGAATCGGTTCTGAAGCCCTTCATGACCCCACGGCACAATGCCTGGCCCGTCTCATTTTGTGGTCTACTCCATCACCGTAAATTATGTCTGCTTCCATTTCTCGCTCTCCCTTAGCGTGATCGTCGTAAATGCTATTTATTTTTGGCTTAGCGTCCCACTTTGGATCAAAACTCGCTAATTTCCGAATAGAGTAGCTCTCGTATCAAAACGCGTCTCAACTTGCTTTCAAATTATGATTTCTGTAATAAGACAGGCTATTAGTTGGTTGGGGATGATAGTTTTGTTTGACCCATTAGTCATTCCAACATAAGCCGATATCCTCTTCGCATGTCGACTTTGAGGTTAAAACTTTGTCCATGGCAGTGGAAAGCTTCTTAGTGAACTACTCGAAGGAATTCGTCTTCTGGGATTTTCGAGTTACTTGACGGGGTATTCGAGGATAACGAGGAACCCGTGGTTTGGAATCCTATATATCTAAGCCTAAACATGCAGCGGTTTCTTTTCGGGCGCCTCTGTAATGTAATCTGTTGTGGCAGTTTTGTAGACCTGAGGGCTTCTAATTAAGTATTGGCGTAAAGTACTCCAAATTTTGTTCTGTCAGGAATCACGCATGCAAACCTTGTAATTCTGACCAAGTAGGTGTGCTGTGTGCCTCTTGTGCACCCCCTACCATAAAATTGCGCCTTTTACACTGCTCAAAGTTGGATTTCTCACTCTCAATGGTCAGGAGTAGTATTCTGATGGCTAATAACTATGATTGATAGTCGGTTAGTTGTTGTGAAATAAAATATTTGCGAACATGCGAGCATACTAGATCATTACTTCTCTAATAACACTGGGTTTGGTAAGCAGAGTCAATTATTGCTAACTTCTCCCATATACGATAGTTCTGCTCATTGGCGTTCTTATGGAGCTGGATAAATGAGTGATTATTTCCTATCTACATGCTGATTTAAGAGTCAATTCCATGATTATCTTATCTGCGATGCAAAGTTATTTATAACAGCAGTTGCAAAATCCTGCATTGGTAATGTTTCAGAATTTCATTCACACGAGTTCAGCGCGGGGACAGGGCCCTAGGGTGCTTACCTCGCTCGTTTTGAGCTTTTGGAGACAGTCTTATCGAATCCATAATGTAATAATTAGTGGTTACATTTCCGATCGGGTAAATGACGGTTTAACTCATGTCTGTTCATGCTCCACTTGATCTGAGGTTTGCGCGTATAGCCGGTGGAATCACTGAGAGGGCATTATTGTTGTACTCTTAATTGCTCCTCAGTCTCATTTTTAATATTAAACAGTATCGCCTGTGGTTTCCACGTAAGGAATAGAAATCTTTTAGTGCCTTCTTTCAGTGTTATACATTTTTTAACCTCGAAGAATCCTCATTTAACTGGAATATATGTCTTCGAAAATGGTGCTGCGTTTCACATGTTTTATGTATTTTACTTTTTCTAGCATCAAGTTACCTGATTAGATACGCACATTCCAATTATCTTTCACCGTCCGTTTCTGGATGTTGTGCGGTAGAATCGAAGCCGGATCCGCGTCGCGTCCACCTGGCGTCACTGCATTCTGCCCATTCAATCCCCGTCTCTCGACCCTGTTCACACTCGGCTACCCCAAGCCCGCACACACCCCAATCTCTAAATCACGCCACCGGTAACAACATTGTATCCTCAAAACCAGCCCCCTCACCTGCAGGCGTGTCCTTTCCGAGTCCGCCAGCTTTCAGTTTGACTGCTGCTAACGAGTTCTTCTACAAGATGGTTGCTCTTTATCCTCACTTTATGCCCCAGCAAATTGCAGAGACCCTGACTGCACTGAAAATAGTAAGCTCCCAGTAGTCTATTTGTTCTGGTGTTCGATGAAATGGCTGGAAAACTCAAGAAGTGAGGAATTACAAACTGCCTACACAATTTTTGGCACTGTGAGACTCTTCATGTCCTGGATCCTGTCTACCTTTTCTCGGCTTCTGATCTCGCACCTGAGGGTGTTCGATTTATTGGGAGGAAGTCATGGCCGTGATTTATGTCTTCAAACCCGCGAGACATCTAATTTGCGCGGCCTTAGGGGTAGCAATTATAAAAACAATATGTTTGACTATTTAATGCATTGATGGGGTCCATCCGTGTCTGTTAAGAAAAGTAAAATTGGACTCATTTAAACTAATCTCTAACGTAGGCATTATTTTTCTATTTGGCTATAGACGAGATTCGGAGTCGACTACTTTCGCAACTAACGTTCTGTCTAGTGTCCCTTTGTTTCCTAACACGCCCTGTTTACCTTGAATCTTGTAGCATGAATACGGCCGTCACACACCCCAACAACATCCGCCCCCCAAAGCAGCACACCAGAACGTCTCCTCCCCAATCCCATGTTACCCCGCCCGTCCCATTTTCGCCCCGTCTCCCGCT